AATGCAGCGTGAAGGCATCTGATCTTGCTCGGCCGCCGGCTCTGAGGGGAGCGCGCCCCCTCGTAGGCTCCCTCTCTCAGCGCCCAGCTCTGGGTCTGGGAACCTGGGCCTCATCAGCCCACCCGCTAGGCGCGGAGCGCGGAGGAGCGCGCACAGCCGGCGCACACACGCAGAATTACTTTTGACGCTTCTCGAAGGCCCGCGGACTGGCCGCGCAGAGTCTGCAGCACTCGACTTTCCCGCCGCTGGAGGGGGCGGAGCCTATGTGACCCCGCCCCTGCTCTAGGTCCGCCTCCGCAGGTTGATGGCAGCGGCAGCTGGGACTGCAGCGACGCCCGGCCCCGAGAGTCGCAGGCAGCGGCCGGAGCGCGCAGCCGAACGCCCGGGCCCCAGACGCCGCGGACACCCGAAGAGGCAGTTCCGGTGCCCTGAAGCCTCCCTTGGTCCCCGGCGCAGCCCCAAACCCCTCCGCAGAGAAGTCGCAGCGTGAGCGCCCCTCGGCCGGCTCAGGACCAGGTACCCACCCCCCCACCGCCGCCACCGCAGCCAGTGAAGCGGGCGGGGTGTCTGGAGGGGACAGAGGTCTGCGCCCCCTCCCCCCCACCCGCCGCCAAATTCGGTCCCGGGCTGGGCGGACTTGGTGTCTATATTTGGCCGAACAGCGGCCCGCGCGCCCGCAGGGCGCAGACACCTCGTCTCGCAAGAACGCAGTGCCGGGGCAGGAGGCCGGAGGAGGGTGCGGGGAGGCCGCGCCTCAGGCCGGGAGTCGCAGAAGCGTCTTGAAGGGCACAAGGATGCCCGGGGCTGGGGAGGGGCTGGAGTCAGTCGCTGGGGCTTTGGAAGAGCTCGGTGTGTGTCCCCTGGGGAAGAGCTTAGCTCAAGCCCCAAGCGGGAGAAAAGGCACCTCGCCCTCCCCACTCCACTCCTGAAAATCTGGCTCTAAGCCGGGGGGAGGGGGGTCGAGGACCCCACCCCCAAGAGAATTTAGTAGGAGAGAGGACCCAGAGGAGAAGTGGGGCTGAAATATGGCCGGCAAAAGCCAGAACACAGTGGTGAGGGCCTCTTAGAGAAGCCAGTCCAGAGAGAAGTGGGAGGAGGAGAGATCCACCTTACACTGTCGTGTCCCCCCCACCCCGCCAACAGCATGGGAGGAAACTGATGAAAACAGTAGCAGGAAGAACTCAGGTGAGCTAACAGGAGGAACTTCTCCTTGGCAAATTTTTAGAAAAAAGGCAAAACCCCATCTACCTAAAACTATGCCACAGATGCTGAGTTTAGGATCTTGAGTGGCTGCAGTCCTAGCCCCACAAATGGCCTTAAGCCAAAGACTCTGATTCTGGACGAGATGCCTCTGGGAGATAAATCACTTCCGTGAAGAGATGCTCATCCAAGCCTGGCAGCGGGAGGGCAGCCTGGCATTGAGGCTCCTCCCCAAACCACTTCAACTTCCAGGAAGCTTTCAGGCCCAGTCAGGCTCCACTGTCCCCCCAGCCTGGCTCTCTAAGGAGAAGTCAGGCCCCAAATCCTAGCGCCTCGAACTAAGCAAAGAACTTTCCCATACATCACCTTGAAGAAAACTCCCTGCTTCTAGGACCAGACTCTATATTAATTTATAGCTGACTCTTGTTCAGATAACCCTTCTCACTTGCCACTCCCCCAACTCTTCCTCCCTCCCTCACTCCCACAGCTACTGGACTAAGGACCAAAATTTGGGCACCGAGATCCTCCATCTCTGCCCCCAGCTATGAGCCGGCGCGTGGTTCGGCAGAGCAAGTTCCGCCATGTGTTTGGACAGGCGGCAAAGGCTGACCAGGCCTACGAGGACATCCGTGTGTCCAAGGTCACATGGGACAGCTCCTTCTGTGCCGTCAACCCCAAATTCCTGGCCATTATTGTGGAGGCTGGAGGTGGAGGTGCCTTCATCGTCCTGCCTCTGGCCAAGGTGAGAGATGAGGGGAAGGAAGCAGGTGGAGGACACTGGCTGTGACTCCTGGGGACTCCTGATAGCAGCCTGTGTTCTCACCTAGTTCCATTCCTCAGTCAGGAGGGCAGTCTATGTGGACTGACTGCTCCCTGTTCCCCAATCACTCAGGGACCAATTGGGAGGCTCTGTCACCCCTCTTAGGACAGCAGCATCACATTGGTCCCCACCTACTCACAGCCCACCCCTTCTCCATGCAGCACCCTGTTCCCAGCAGGGACCAGGAGCGGGTGATGGATAGTTGGGAAGCAGTGGAGACAGAAGCTGGCCAGATTCTGTTCCTATCTCTCCTGATGCCACACCCCTTATGTTTTTGGTGTCAGGATCTTTGTACGCAGCCCAGGGTGAGCATTGGATTAAATCACACCCCGGAGCAGCACACTGAGGACAGGGTCAGGCTCTATCCAAGGAGTTCTTGGCCACCTCCCCCATTCTGGTTCTTGCAGTGAGGTAGAATGAGAGCAAAGGGCCGGGGGGACGTGACATATAAGGCCAGAGCCCCCTCTACTCCAGGGATGGGGACCAGGCAATGACCAGCACCTTTACTGAGTAGCCTCAAGCCCCTCAGCCATCTCTACCCACAGGATGGCCACTCCAAGGGATGACCTTGACCTGGATTCCGGCTCCTACACCTTGTTAGGGGAGGCCCCACAGGTGGCAAGGTCAGGATGAGGCCTGGCAATAGCCAGTGACTCACTCCAGGATAATGCAGACACCATCCAAGGACATCATCCCCTGGGCTCAAATTTCAACTGGAGCCACCTCCTCCCCCAGTACAAGTGCCATTCCAATGCCACACGGCCACCCCTCTCCCCTACCGCCTGGTCTGGGTTGATGCCAGCCCCTGCAAAGCCCTCAGAGCCCCCACAAACATACCATAAAGATTAAAAATAGATGGGCCCCAGCTCAGGTTGAGAGACGGCAGGCACAAGGCATGCCTGCTGCTTGTGGTTCCAAGGTAAAGCCATTGACAAGGGGGAGATCTGCCAACTGGCTAGGAAAGGGCTGTCAAGCACTGCATTGCATCTTACCTTACCTTGACCTATTCCACCAGGGGCTTCCCATGGACATTTCAGTTGGAGGAACAGGCCCAAGAACTGTCTCCTCCAAGTAGATGTTTTTAGAAGAGCACTGGACTAAGAAGTCAAGTCTTGGCTCTACCAGTATCTTGCTGTGTGTCCTTGGTTAAGTTATCTTACCTCTCTGTGTCCGATTCCTTGATGTGCAATGACTTCAGCTCTGTCTTCCGTGAAGTAGAGGAAGTAGGCCGGATGGGGTTGGAAGAGCAGAGAGGGGATGGGTTCCGCAAAGAGAAAACAGAAAATAGAGAATTGAGATGTAAACAGATCCACTCCCCACCCCCTGAAAACACACAGGACAGTGGCCCCACATCTCCCTCTCTGACCCCTGCAGACAGGGCGAGTGGATAAGAACTACCCACTGGTCACTGGGCACACTGCCCCTGTGCTGGACATCGACTGGTGCCCACACAATGACAACGTCATCGCCAGTGCCTCAGATGACACCACCATCATGGTAGGAGCCAGGTGGATGCTGCTGGGCTGTTGGGCAGGGGAAGCAGGGAGGGCTGCCTCACTTGTGCTGCGGAAGGTGGTGAGGGAGGTGCTGAGTTCCAGGGCCCTGCCCTGTCCAGCTCCCAGGCTATTTTTAGCTACATGTCCGCCCCCTCCCAGGATGAACTGCTTAGGACTAATTTTAGCCATGGCTACCTTGGGGCCTGAAGAGCAGGGGGGCAGTGCTCTGAAGTCTCCCTGCTCGTGTGAGTAGGCAGGTCTCTGGAAAGCTGACAGTGCCACCTCCTGGCTCCCAGCTGCTTCTGCCCCATGTGGGCACCATCACATCTTGTCCTGCACTTGACCCTGGGGAAGGGGGGTGGGGGAAGTAAGGGAAGAGCAGAGTGACAAGGTGGGCTCCTCATCCCACCTACCCTATGCCTTTTCCTTCTATCTAGGTGTGGCAGATTCCAGACTATACCCCTATGCGCAACATTACAGAACCCATCCTCACACTCGAGGGCCACTCCAAACGTGTGGGCATCCTCTCCTGGCACCCCACTGCCCGGAATGTCCTACTCAGTGCAGGTCTGGGGGCCTAGGGAGGGGTCCCTACCATAGATTGGGGGGTGTGGGGAGTGGCAAAGGCAGGGCCAGGTGACAGTGCCTGGCCATTCTGGGCAGGTGGTGACAATGTGATCATCATCTGGAACGTGGGCACTGGGGAGGTGCTTCTGAGTCTAGAGGACATACACCCGGACGTCATCCACAGCGTGTGCTGGAACAGCAACGGGAGGCTGCTAGCCACCACCTGCAAGGACAAGACCCTGCGCATCATCGACCCCCGCAAGGGCCAGGTGGTGGCGGTGAGTGTCTAGCCTGGCTACGTCCCAACCCCTGCCCCAGGAAGCAGCTGTCAGGCCTCTGTACCCACAACCCCCTGAGCCCCTCGTCCCAGCTCCCACCTCCTCCACCTCAACCCCAGACACCAGCCCTGCCCCGCCGTGTCTGCAACCACAGCCCCTGCCCTAAGTAAGCCCCCAGCCCGCAATTCTCAGCCCCGCTCCTGTTCCCTCCCCTCCCCTGCATCTCAGAAGCTCAGAGGAGGGCTGCTCGATTTGTGACTGAGGAGGGGAGAAGCTGCAAACTCTACCCTCCCACCAGGCCTGCATGAACCGAACCTGCGCCCCCGGACCCCTCTCCTCCCAGCCGGCACCCAGCGCCATCTTCCGGCGCCTGAGCCTGACACTGGCTCGCGGGCAGGCCCCTTTCCAACCTAGTTGACCCGCTGGGTGGGAGATTGGAGGCAACCCTCGCGCGTTGTTTGCCCCAGCTGGGTGCCCAGGGAGGGCGGCGGCACCTGCCTCACCAGCCTCAACCTAAGGTGGGGCGCTGGATGCGCGGGGCACGTGCACGTTTGCGTGGAGTGCGCGCGGCGGGAGCGGAGCGGGGCGGCGCGGCGCGGCGCGGCGCGGTGGGCACTCTAACCCACTAACCTCGCGAGCAGGAGCGAGCCCGGCCTCACGAGGGTGCCCGCCCGCTGCGGGCCGTCTTCACCGCAGACGGGAAGCTACTCAGCACCGGCTGCAGCAGGATGAGTGAGCGGCAACTCGCGCTCTGGGACCCGGTAGGCCAGGCCGCGCCGGGCGCACGCGCTCGCTCCTTCGCTGGGTCAGCCGGGAGCGCTCTCTCAGACCGTGGCCCGCGCCCAAGATAGCTGAAGCGGACCGGGGAGCTCCCGTCTGGGAAGCGCCTCTCTGCTCCCCTGGGAAGCCCGCAGGCATGCCCTGCTCTGAGGGCGCTTAAGGGCTCAGAATCTGCAGAGAGAGGCCCGCGCTCTCCAGGCCTGGGGCCAGCGAGGAGACGCCAGGAAACTGAATATTTAAGACCCCTTTTGTCTCCGCCCCCCACACCCAAGTCAGCAAGTTGGTTGCCCGGCCCTCCAGGCTCCCCAGGCCAGGCAGCTGGGTGACGCCTCTCCCTATCTCCCCCTCCCCCCAGGAGAGGTTTGCGGCCCACGAAGGAATGAGGCCCATGAGGGCTGTCTTCACGCGCCAGGGTCATATCTTCACCACGGGCTTCACCCGCATGAGCCAGCGAGAGCTGGGCCTGTGGGACCCGGTAACGCAGCTGGACGCTTGGGGTGTGTGCCCCGGGGACTGGCATCACGGGAGAGGGGCCAGGCGCCCCCCACCCGCAGGGCATGTCCACCTGGACAGGGCTGGAGGCTGCTGCCCTCTTTGCAGCGCCTGCCATCCTCACACCCACCCCTCTGCCCAGTTTTGCTGCGTCGCCTGAAGGATCCCACGCTGGCGCCCCCGCCTGGTGATGCCGAGTCCCTGGGGGTGGTTTGCGGTGACTGCATGCGGCGGCGCAGGGGGTATAGGTGCGGGGGACCGAGAGTGGTGTCCAGGTGTGGGGTCTGCAGTTCTCTTCACCAGAGTTGCCTTGGGAATGCGTGGGTTTTGGGGAGGGCACGAAGCGTAAAGGAGCTTCAGGGGATCCAGAGCGGCACGGCGGGCGGGACAGGGCTGGTCACGCCTCCTGTGCTCGGGCAGAACAACTTCGAGGAGCCAGTGGCACTGCAGGAGATGGACACAAGCAACGGGGTCCTACTGCCCTTCTACGATCCCGATTCCAGCATCGTCTACCTGTGTGGCAAGGTGCTCGCAGCCGGGAGGGGAGAAGAGGGGGCTGGACCGAGATATCGGGGGCCCGCCCAGCATATCTCCGAACCGACTGGTTTTGCAGGGCGACAGCAGCATTCGGTACTTTGAGATTACCGAGGAACCACCTTTTGTGCATTACCTGAACACGTTCAGCAGCAAGGAGCCGCAGAGGGGCATGGGCTTCATGCCCAAGCGGGGACTGGATGTCAGCAAGTGCGAGATTGCACGGTCAGCAGCCTTGCCCTTCCCACTCACCTGCTTCTGTTCCCACGTCCCATCCGGGAAGACTCGGGGGCTTCCCCAATAGTGTAGTCTCTGGAAAATAGTGGGTTTTCGGGGGTGGGGGGTGTCATACGGGCTTGTTTCCAGTGCCAGACCCAATGCTACAGGCTTGACATTCTCTGAACTTCAGTTTTTTCATCTCTTAATGATGATAAACACCCCATCACAGGGTGTTTAAAGTGCAATGCATGGTAGGCGCTCAGCAAGTGTTGGCCTCTAACCCCTTGGTCCCGGGCCAAAGTTAAGGGAGTGGGAGCCTGAGCGTGTGCCCATCCCCACTCCCTTATAGGTTCTACAAGTTGCACGAAAGAAAGTGTGAACCCATCATCATGACTGTGCCCCGCAAGGTGAGTGGCCGGGAGAGGGGTTGGGCAGGGCTCCGAGGCGGAAAGGAGCGGAGCAGGCCTGGCACCCTGCTCGTTCTCGTGTCTCCCTACCCCTGCAGTCAGACCTGTTCCAAGACGACCTTTACCCAGATACGCCGGGCCCCGAACCGGCCCTAGAAGCGGATGAATGGCTATCCGGCCAGGACGCCGAACCCGTGCTCATCTCGTTGAGGGACGGTTACATGCCCCCCAAGCACCGCGAGCTGCGGGTCACCAAGCGCAACATCCTGGACGTGCGCCCGACCCCCGGCCCCCGCCGCAGCCAGTCAGCCAGCGACGCCCCCTTGTCGGTAAGGTCCCGCCCTGCTCCACCCAGGCCCAATCTTCACATCCCCCTACAGCACCCTGCCCAACGCCGCCTCTTCCGTTCTCTGCGTCCAACAGCAGCACACCCTGGAGACGCTGCTGGAGGAGATCAAGGCCCTGCGCGAGCAGGTGCAGGCCCAGGAGCAGCGCATTACGTCTTTGGAGAACATGCTGTGCGAGCTGGTGGACGGCACGGACTAGCGCATCACACCGGGGAAGCTCCAAGCCGGGAGGGCAAAGTTGGGCGGAGCGCAAGCACTCCCGTGTCGCCCCGGCTTTGGGTCCTCTGGACCCCGCCTCTCTGGGCCTGGGCCGGGACTGGGGAGGGAACTCCGCCCCTCGCGGGAGTCCTGGACAAATGAAGCGTTGCGGACACTCGCGTCCGTCTGGCGCCTACCGGGCTGTGTGCCTCGTACAGGACTCAGCAGGAGCTGGCCTTGGAAGGCCCAGGGTGACGGGGGCCTCAACAATGGTGCTGCACGGCAGGCAGTGTCCCCTTTGTTTCCCTTCCCGCCCAGGGCAGGGAAAGTGCTTAGTATTAGCGCAATGCTTGGGATGTTGGGGATCTTGGGCTTGACCTCAAAGGGGTAGCGATTTGACGGGTCTCCCCAGACTGGCTGGGGAAAATTACAACGCTTCTCCCTCTAATCAGCTCACTTGACTCCACCACCCTGAGTGGTAAACTCAACGGGCGTCACCCGAGTTCTACGGACATACACAAACGTTGGCTGTACAGCCGGACCCACGGGCTACACCCAGCAGTCTACGGCAGAGGGCTCTCTTCCTTCTCTCCATCTGCAGGGGAGAGGACGGCTTCCTCGCGGCACTCCCGCAGGAGAACCAACCAGAGAATTGGCATGAGGAAGCAGGTTCACACCTCCCCCCTCCCAGACACACACACACACTCTGCACACACACACACACACACTCTGCCCCCAGCCCTCTGTTGCGGCCTTGACTCTAGGAGGAAAACAAGACGTACTGAATGAAAGAAACATTTTACCAAGTGCTCAGTCTGTGCCTCCTGCATGGGTGGGGATGCTAGACCCCCAGCCTCTGTAAATGCCACCACCAGACTCCTGGGGGCCCTGACAAATGCAACCCTCGGCTCAGGACCCACCAGACATCCTCTTACTTCAGAGCCCTCCCCACACTGAGGTTCAGAAGGAACCCTCAACCCGCAGATGGGCATTCTTCCCCAGTAAAGGCAGGTGGGAAAAGCCTCGGGTTTGAAGCCTCTTTTATTTGTGCCTCAGAATCAGTCTGGTGCCCCTGGCATCAGGGAAGAGGGTGAGAGGAACAGCTTCCCTTTGTTGTTTTCTTCCATCGCTTTCGTGTCCCTTCCAAGCCTCACTGGCTGAGCCAGGAAGGCCAGTCCGAGAGAACCCAGACAAGGGTGTGCAGTGGGCCCCTGCCCCTGGCGGGGTCTGTGCTTCTCTGGGTGGTGGGGTGGGGCAGGGGAGAGCCGGGGGTTAGCACCATTGGATGAAGGGTTTCGGAGTCAGCCCCTGGGTGGGGGGAAAGTAGGATGCACAACCACAGAGGGCTAGCAGCAGCTGGTGGGAAGGGATGGATGGTGGTGCCAGGGCCCTGGGTGACCCCTGTGTCCAGTCTGGTGTTTGCCCCATGCCCACTATGCCTCCCCATTCGCCAAGACACCATGAGGGAGCCAGGCCTTGCCCAGACCTGGGGCCACCTTGGGCACCCTCCCTGATCACAAAAACGTGCCTTGGGGATGGGGACTCCAACCTCTGGTCACCCAAAGAGAAGCTGGGACCACCCTGAGACCCGGGAGGGGTGTGGGGGCTGGGGGAGCCGGGCACCCCGCTAAGTGCACTTGACGCTGAAATGCCGGGGTGGGGGAGGAGCTGGGCCCTTGACGTGCTGGTTTGTGTCTAGGACGAAGCAGCCACACAGCACGTGGGGAGCTCAGCTACCCCCCAGGGGTGAAGAGCAGAGATGCAAAGGCTTCACGGGCAGTGTCCTGGAGTGGGGTCAGTGAGCAGAAAGGAGGACCGGCCAGAAGGAGCCAGGGATGGAGACAGTGCTCCTCTAAGGACCGTCTACCCCTCAAACGGCCTGGCTCCGCCCTTGGACCGGTCAGAGCCCAGGGGAGTGGGGTGGGGTCAGGATACAGCAAAGCAGGGGAGCCGTGCCAGCTGCCTCCAGGAAGGTACCCCACGGCCGGGCCGAACCCCTCCCCATCTGGTGCCGGGGGCGCCGCTACGCCCCCAAGGCGGCGGTTCGGGTCTCCGGACTCAGCTCGGAGAGCGAAGAACGCGCAGGAGGGGCGACTCTCGCTCCGGGGCGGGTCCCGCGGGGCGTGGCCAAGGGGCCCGGCAGTGGGCTCTACTGCTCAGTCAGAGAGAGCCGCAGGATGCGCTCCAGCTCCTCCTCCTCCTGGCGCGCGCGCCGCCGCCGCTCCTCCTGCTCCTGCGCAGACAGCTCCATGGCCAGCCGCAGCTGCTCATCGTAGCTCCGGAACACGTGGCCGCCTTGGCCTGGGCGCGGGCTGGGCCGAGGGCTGGGGACCGACGCCAGGCCCGCGGGGGTTGTGGACTGGCGCTGCGGCGTGGGCGGAGCGCTCCTGGAGGCAGGTAAGAAACGTCGAGGGCTCCGGGCGCATCTGCGCGTATGCGGGGCGGGAGACGCGTGGAGGCCCCGGGACAGCGCAGGCCTCAACACTCTCCAGTGGAAGCGATGAGTCCCGCGTCACCTCCCTGGCTCCCTCCCACCCGGTAGGAGCTGATTCCAGCTCCTACAAAGCCCATCCTCCCAGTCTTCTAGAAGCCCAGCCCCGACATTCTGTCTGGCGAGGGTCTGTGAAGGCTCTAAGGCCGCGTTTGGAGTACTGCTCACCCACCCCTGAGTCAGGAACGGGTGATGGTGGTAGACGCCATCTTGAAACCAGTAGGGTCCCTGATGGCGGTACCACGGTTCCTCTGGGCCAAGAGGGGTGCTCATGCGGCAGTGTCCATACGCACCGTGACAGGGCCCTGGTGTTCTCAGTGCACGTGTATGGGAGATGGGGGAATAGGCGTCTCCAAACCCTCTCCGGACGGGCTGGCACTGACCTGTCCTGTCGGCGACCGTCGTAGGACATGGGGTGAGTGCCCGGTTTGCTGTTGGTTAGCGCCTCCCAGATGGTGACCTGGGCGGAGGCGGGGGTAAGCCAGTTAGCTGTGGCGGCACCGCAGTCCAGTGGCCCCTTGCGGCTGCGGGGACGCACCTGGTCATACTCACTGCCCGCCTCAAGCAGGCTCTGCTGGATGGCGAACTGCAGCAGGTCGTCATCGTCGTCGCGGGTGGCGGCCTCTCGCTGGCCGCCCAGCACACTGTAGCCGCGTGGGGCCTCGAACAACGCGGGGGAAATCTCGCAGCCGCGGCACGAGGCTGGGGGCGCCGGGCTGTGGGTCAGAGTGGACCAGACCTCCCCTCCCGGCCACGCCCGGGGAAGTGCTCGGTGGGGAGGGGGAGGGAGGGCGGGCTCAGGGCGGGACAGGGCCTCACTCGTGGAACTGGAGCTGCTGACACTGGAGGAGTCACTGCCTGGGGAAGGGGTCTCGCTGCTGGGGCTGCCTCGCACCAACGGCACCGGCTCATCGCAGCCATTGAGGTTCCCGAAGGTGATGCGGGCGTTGAGGATGTGGAAAATCGGGATTTCTGAGGATGCAGAAATCATCAGGCACCACCACCCACTCCCTCACACCTTAGGTACCCACTCTTTACCTCCTCTAAGCCCCATCCTCCCAATAGCTGCTCAAGGGAAATGGGGCTGGAGCCTCACCAATCTTGACAGGGAATCCTGGAGGCAGGCGCAGGGTAATGAAATCCCGGAGCTTGGCAAAAAGTGCATTGCTGACGGCCATGAGGTCAATGATGGGGGCCACCTGCTCACACAGGGACAGGGGATGCTCCTCACACAGCCACAGCTTGGCCTTGAACCTGCACCCCAGATCCCAAGGGGCGAGGGACATTGTAGAAGCCATGGCCTCCCAACCCTGCCCACCCTTCCCCAGCACCACCATGGGGCCTCACTTCTGTGTCTTGGTGGTCAGTTCCATGGGTCGGCCCATGTCACGGTTGCCAAGCTCAAAGTTGGGATTGAAGTACTCTTCTGCAGTGATGGCAGTAGGGTTGGCTTGGCTCAGAGTCTGAGTGATCAGGGTCTGTACCACACAGGGAGGGGCTTATGAGCCCCTCTCAGTCCCTGAGGCCAGGCCAGCCACTTGGTATTACAAGCCCCGGATCTGTCCCCCCGCCACTGTGGAGCTGACAGGGCCTTGGGCATTGTGGAAAGAAAGGAAGTCCCCACAGGGTGCCTCCCAGACTTCCTCCTGATCCTCATCCACACCCTTCCACAGAGGGGTACCCTTTGCATACACTCACCCCATTTTGGGGGCCCCCATGCTGCTCAGCAATTCCCAGGAAGGACTGCAGAGGTGTCTTACAGCCTGCAAGAAATATGGCATTTCAGAGGACACTGCAGTCCTCAGAAGTGACAGCACCCAAGGCCCAGGGAGGAGGCTGGTCCCTGGGGGGAGGGAGGATTGCTCGCCCACACCACACACCCAGGCACCTTCACCTGAAGGTGATTGAGGACTCCCAGGGGCAGGGGCAGGACCACCATAAGCACAGCTGGAATAAAAGTAGGCCTGGGGCTCAGGAGAAACATCTAGAAGTATTTTGGGTTGTGCGTGTGTGTGTTTTCCTTCAGGTGCAACCATGTTAACTTCATTTTGTTCTCTTGTGAGGTGGGAATCATGTCTGTACCCACTTTAGACAGACTAACTGGTGCCCAGAGAGTCAGGTGTAGTATCAGCGGGCACAGAGAATCCGTGGCAGGGCCCCTGTCCTTCTGCCTAGGGTATGTCCCACTTGACTAGAATGGCCAACAGACAGCGTCCATGACGTTCCCCCTGCCCCAAATCCAATGCAGATATTAGTAATCAATTGTAGCATTCCTTCCTGTTGAGCCCAAATGTTGCCTTAGAATCTTAACAGCACTTTAGGCAACCACTACCAATCACTAGGATTTGGCACTTGAATTGAAACCTATTTGCCTGAATAAATTATCCTGGCTCTTGCTAGGATGTCAGAGGAAATACCGATGGAGGCGCTTGAGTGGGGCTGGTTCCTCCCCCCCCACTCCCCCCATCCACCTCTGCCTCATTACCTTTGACCTTGCCCTTGTGCTGTTCTGAAAGATGCTCTGTCCGTGTCCGGGTGATGAGCTCCACATTGGATGCCCCGTATACCTGGGGACGGATGAGGAAAGGACTCACAGACAGCTTTGGTACCCCTACCCTGCCCCTAAGGGCGTTATGAACACTTCCTACAAAGAACGGTCGGGGAGGGGGGTGCTGTCAGTTCCAATCTCCAGGCCTTTGGGCAAGTAATTATATGAAGTTATTCATTCAGTTCTTTTATTCATTCAACAAACATTTTGTGAGGAGCCCTTATAAGCCAGGCACTGAGGCAGCCGTCAGGGATACAGTGGTGAACAAGCATGGCCAGACACGATCCTTGCCCTCTTGAGGCTCACAATCAAGAAGACAATGGACAGTAATAACACAGTGTGATACATGCTCTAATGGGGAGAGCACAGGACTGTGGGACCAAAAACCAGAGGCCATAACCCAGCCTGTGAACCAGGGAAGGCTTCCAGGAAGAAACAACAATGACACAGAAACTTGCATTGGTTAGACCCTTCACCACATGGGCCCACATGGGTGATATGGGGGTCCCAGAGTGACTGCTGGGCATCCCCCACAACAGTCTTCTTAGGGGTAGAGGCCTGGCTTTGGAGTCAGCCAGCTGGGTCTGAAGTTTAGCTCTGGGCAGCCTTGTACTGGCCACTTAGTCACTCCAAGCCCCTGCTTCCTCATCATAAAATGGGCCAGTATCCTACTTCATAGAGTTGAGAAGATTAAATGGGAAATGGTGGAAAGGGCTCGATAAACCTCTGTAAAATGGGAATAATAATAGCATCTACCCGAAAGGGTTGTCGTGAGGATTAAATGAGTGTGTGTGTGTGTGTGTGTGTGAGACATACACACATATATACATAGACGTGTGTGCATGTGTACATAGACACACATACATACATACAAGTACATACATTTAAAATGTCAGAACAGAACCTTGAGCATGAACATAATATTCGGTGCTCAATAAATGCCGGCCATTCTCATCAGTTGCCTCTTAGTC